TCTCTACCAGATGAACCCTGCTGTGAACTCGCACTTGGTCCACCCAAACTTGATCTGTTCGGGAATGCCATCAGCCTAACACCACGCGGGGATATCAGCCAGCATTTCCGCGGTTGGTCGATGTGGCGCCACCCCCAGATGTTGGCAGTCCCTTCCCGCAACATTGCACCAAGATCTTGAGGATAGAGAGGAATGCACCAATTTAAACAACCAGACCTGGTCACTGATGGAATGCATCCATTCCGCAGCTCCCAGCATTTTATCTACATGGACCACGAACTATGACTGTCTACGGAAACACCACCAGCAGCTCAGAATAAAATCTTGAAAACGCGTCAGATTTTGTATGCCACACAGTCTACCTGCATTCCCGTTGGCTATTACCTCGATTAACGCGTGAAGACACGTTTATTTCGGGTAATGGCGCCAGAGCAGCGGCAGATAGGCAACGGACCCGGGCCTATCAACGAGCACGCCGCATATCTTCGCGAAGCATGCCACCAACTACAGGACGTGGAAAAAGGCAGACTCGACCAAATACCATGGAAAATAGTTCAGCAATTCGTCTCATGCACCGTTGCACTCGCAGGAAAGGTGCAGCAGCAGCCTGCATTACGCGAAATCCTGCACCACGTTCAAAACACAGCCAAGTGCACGGAGAACATCCAAAGAGATGTGTCAATCATTAGGAACTCGACAGGCTTAGACACAACTTGAAGGCTTCTTAATTGCATGCTGGTTGGTGCTACAGAATGATGTGGAACAGGTGAATTATGAGCTTGGAACTGGAATGTACTTGGCTTAGGAAGGACAACTTGGGTGACACTCTGCGACAATTTCTTGCAGATACAGATTCTCTGCTATAGTTGGACTGAGTCAAGAACGATAATCATTGCATTGTTGATATGGCACTACAGCCTCCAGTATACGCTTATGGCCCGGATGCTCAATCAAATAGAAACCATCACAAGTCATAGCAAACCAATCCACTGTCTCCCACGTTATCAAACGCTCCTGCGCTTCAGAGTCGATGTGGATACCACATCAGTCGTCAAAGTCTAGCGGATAGCAAGCACATTGTGAATAGAAAGAAATCCATGACATCTTTGTTGATTTCGCCCCCCTACAGGCGCTCCGACTATATGCCTATGAAGACTTGTACGATGAACTGGTTCTGGGCAAAGCGCCCGCAATCTAGAACGAGGACTTTGTACGCTTGCCTCGGGTCAATTAAAGCCCGTTAGGAGGGCGGGCTATGCCGTGTTAGGTTAGCCTTGGGTGGCTGAGAATCAATTTGTTTCTCGCAGCCCAAAAGAATGTTTTTATTCCCGCATTTCTTATGGTTATTAACGTCATTATATTCGGTACTCACACACCATTTGGATGCTTGTGGACTCTAATGCTGAGCGATGGCTGAACCGATATCTCTGACTTCCGGGCTTCTAACAATGGTAGGATTCGCTCTTAAGTCAACAAGTTCTCTCTACCGGACTGTGGAGAGTTTTCGCACGAACAAGAGGTCTATCCGTGAGCTTAAGGAAGAACTTGAGTCTCTCGAACAGGTCCTAATTTCCTTTCAGCAGCTTGCGCTGGAGACTGATACGGACCTTGAATCACTTAAGCTCCCCTTACTCCGGTGTGGCCAGGCTTGTAGCGTTTTGACGAGATCATCGACAAATGCACAGCCAACTCTAGTGGGTCAAGGACCAGCTTCCGTGACTGGGCCAAGTTAACGTATATGGGCGACGATATATCGCGGTTCAGATTAATGCTCTCGGGCTATAAATCTACAATTAATGTCGCCATCGGCGGAGTCACCATGTGAGTTTTCCGACAGATTCACCATTAAGACTGACCTAACAATACCGCTGTAGTCGTAAAGCCACCGTTACAACCAATGTTCTTAATGAGTATAAGAAACTGATTGCGGATACAACGTCCGACCTCGAAGAACACCTGGCTGAGATTGAGAGCAGGCTTCAAGCCTTTCCTGTACAACGAGGGGGAGAATCGGAGAACGGAAGCACGGAGTGGGCGAAAATCCAAGAGGAAAGGGAAACCACGAGAAAGTGCATTGAGATCTGCACTCGGGTTGGAGACTATATCGACACAGTCCAAAGCCACGATCTCAGGGGCGTCCCTTCCTCGTCAGCTTCTCAACGTGCTACTGTCGAAACATTGAAAGAGTGTAAGGACAAGCTTACTGCTTTATCCACTGAGATTGGAAAACGATCGGAGGAGTTGGGCAACAGGCTAGAGAAAATTATGTCATTAGAAGTCAAGTTATCCGATGAAGATGCCGACAACATGAGAAAAGTTCAAGCTGAGAGAGACGGTCTCAAGCAATGCCTTGCAATCTGCAATGAGGTGTCAGCGCAGACGCAAGGCCTCAGAATGAATGTCTTTGAGGATGTTATCTCAGCAGACGATGCCCACCAACTGATTGTATCAACCTTGGGGGATCTAATTTCTGCAAAACGAATAACGACCGGGGCTAGGTCGGCTCAATGGCTCGGTCAGATGTCTGATGACGCTTTGCAGCGGCTCTCGCGAGACCGCGCCCACAACGCCTCGGACACCACGGTTGGGATTGATTCGAAGACAGCCAGCTTTCAAGGGCGCTACGGTGCCGGCTACCAGCTTGGGGCCGATGGATCCGGTATGCCGCAAAATCCGTCCGGAACGACTGATTAAACTATTAGATACCATACTGCAAAAATTTTTACTATTTTTATTATTATCTTTTCTACACTGGAAGGGCTGATTTATAATATTTGGAGCGCTCCGGGTATCTCGTTTTTCAAATCTCGCCCTATAGGCTCCAATTCTCATTATTTTTCCATCACTCTCCGCGAAGCCAAAACCCAGTAGTAGGGGAGCGATATTATGATCTGGGTGTCTATGTGAACTTCCCCCTTCAGTTTCCGGGATGATCAAAAACCACATTTTGTGCGGCTTGCTGCAGAGCGGTGGGGGATTTTGAGGACTCATTTTTTTAACTTCCATTTTAGTATGTATCAGGTTCACATGAATTAGGTTGTCCTGGAGCCTTGACCATGAATTATTATATGAACTGTGTTCATTCTCGCAGAGCCCTAATTGGTATGCGCCCCTGTGCTTTCCTTGATAAATATATTCACCATCACATAGGAAACATTTTATCCCCCTCCGATTCGAATAACGCGGGGGAAATACCAAAACCCTAAGGTCCAAAATACCGTCCATCACCTTCAGTCTCCCCATCCCCATTGAAGGGGCTTTATGCACAAATTCTGAGTGATGTGCAATCCGAGACATGTTGATAATTCCTCAGTGAGAAAGGACAAGACCTTATCCGTGGTGCATATGGTTAGGCACTTTTGTCGCTCCTGCCATAATGTAATTGAACTGCAATGCCGGGCTTGATCTAATCCCATCGTGGTTCTATCTAGGTACCGGGAAAGGGGTCCGGGCATGGCATTATTTCTTCGTCTCCCTGAGTATTATGACGGAACGTTTTTCCTTACGACCAACCTCGTGGGTGACTTTGATGCCGCGATTCTGGACTGAGTTCACCTTACTCTAAAATACCACGACTTGACACCTGCCGCAAGAAGGAGCATCTTTCTTAACTTTCTAAACGCGGCGGGAACCAAAATAGACGAGACGGAGCTAGATATGCTAGATATTTTGGTGGAAATAAAGCTTAATGGCCGACAGGTAAGAGTATTCTACCCTGAGAGATTTTGTCGTTTTCATGATGTTTCATTAATCAGGATTCCCTTTCGGTGCCAAGGTGAATTGCGGCGCATGCTCCTTCACCTGCCTCAAATCATAGACACAAGATAACAATTCATTCAAGTTACTCAAGTCATTGGTCTAAGGACTGTTCATGCGTGTGGGCCGTATATGATCAGTATACTAGCCAATGCATATGTCTTTCTGCAGGCTAACGGAGCGGCCCGGAATTTGAAACATAGTCGGTAGCGGCTTCGCCTCTCCATGAAGTAGCTTCTTCATGTGAACAGGCTAAAAATGACAACTGTGCATCATTGTAGGACATTTCATCTCAATGAAGCCCTGAAAATGCGTGGAAACTAAAACCCACGTGACGTATACACATGACTTGAATTTTATCTCAGTCGGGACCCGCGGGGTGTAATGTAGTGTTGGGTTGATGTCATTGCCCCTCTCCACCAAGAAGCGGGGTGTGCAGTTTTCCTTTTGGGTCTCATGCTCTTCATCAGTCAACCTAACGGTCCTACAGCTTTACACATTTCGACGTCCAGGTTGGTCATAAGGCAGCTTGTGCTCAGTAGTGACTTAATCCGAAGCCCTCCATTGCCCTGCCATAGATCCATGTCTCTTTTTTTTTTTTTTTTTTTTCTTTTCTTTCCGCATTCGTTTAATGACATTGAGATTCCTATCAACCTTTAGAGGTATTCATCATACCCTGACCAGATATCTATAAGTTCCCTAGGCAGCGAATTTGGTTAGTGCTGCTTGTTGCTTTTCATTTGCTGGTGTTGCAATTGTAGGGTAGCGCGTTCTGCTAACAAAGGAGATCTGCCCTAACATCAAGCATTCTGCATCCTGCTTCCAAAATCAGACATGTCCGACGCCCCGCTGACCGATGATGCCAGAAAACACCTAGAAAATCTACGAAATAGCCTCCACGAAGCCGCATATGAAGAGGATGATGGGGGTAATCGAAAATACAAACACGAAGCGGTTGAGCCATATGTCACGCCAATACTGAAAGCATCTGGCCTTGAGGTATGCATGCTCTTCACTCGGTATCTTCAGTACGCTGAACAGAGTCTACAGGGCTGGAAATTTACTGTTTGGAGATTTCAGACATCCCTTCATTGGGAAAAGCTGCCTGGTGCTGTTAAGCTTTTTCTCATTCGGCTATTATCGCCAGCTGCGCACAGTGAGCCGGGGGGGTTGTTGAAATATGGTATGGTCAGAACAATTGATGGCCCCGTATCTATTAAACCGAGTTTCGAGGCCGTTTTCGCCGTTCCTCCTGATAAATCCAGGGAGCTGTCTGATAAATGAGAATGCGTAAATTCATCATGTACGCGGAAACGGATCAATAGATACAGGTGTACCGGCTTGCGCATGTAAGAAGGGGTTGAAGTTCAAAGAATTCCGCGAAACACCGCCAACCCGCGCATGTAAAAATGGGTTGAAATTCAAAGAGTCGAGACACTTATAGTGTTTGTATATAGTAGAGACAAGAGCAAAGTCGTAGCCAAGACAAGAACATATATCCGACAGCCTACATGCTCGATAAGCATGTTTTCTCAACTGGAGATTCGGAGTCACGCTTACTCAATTCTTTCCCCTGCCAAAATCATGATAATACATGGTATACAGTACGGTATAAACCCATCCCGAAAGATGGGTAGTTGGGCTCCTCCTAAGCGGTCTATAAAAGCTTGACAACTTTGTTTAGACTGGGAGAGCCGTGCATACTTTTGAACGGGTTGAGCACCTATAACTATCAGTAAGGCCCAGAAGACGGCAGAAGAAGGATTCTCAGAGAACAGACGAA